TATATATATGGTAACTTTGAGAAATGGAACCAACTTTAAGGCATACACTGGGTAATTAAAAATCTAGAATTCTGTAGATACGGAATTATTTATGGTTCTGTGTTATATACGAGAACCGGTAATATTTAATATTTCTTCTTGCAGTGTCTCCATAGTTTTCAAATATATTGTTAATGTTAAGTTTGAAATCTACACCTGTTCAGTGAATGGCAACACATTTTTGTTCCTTTGTTTTTAATTCAATGGTATGTTAAAATGTAAACTCTTTTTATGGCACCCATTCAGGACGGACACAGTATTCCATGTGGCCAGGCAGCTATCCCAGACGACACTTGTTGAGCCACTTCTTCTGCCCTCCAACCTGCTAACACTGTTCTGTCGATATCTGGACAAGCGAACGGTTCACCAACTAAAGAACAACATGGAGTGAGTCCAAATGCTGCACTCAGTACTTTGCACTTGGCATTTCTCTTAGGACAGGGGTGTCCAAACATGTTCATGTGGAGGGCCATTGTCCTACAGAGTTTAGCTCCAACCCCAATCAAACACACCTGAACTAGCCAATCTCTTCAGATTCACTAGAAACTTCCAAGCAAGTGTGTTGGAGCCAAACTCTGCAGGACATTGGCCTTCCAGGAGCAGGTTTAGGCACCCCTGTCTTAGGACATTTTCAGACCTGTAGATTGCTTTTTTCCCAAAACAGGGACTTTAATTGGTACATTGTTGCATTTTTATTTTTTTCTTGGTTCAGATTACTTTCACAAGGCAACATTTTTAAGCTTATCAATTTATGCAAGTTGCGCGAGTAAAACCATCCTCTCATTGGTCAGAGTGCACCAGTTTATGTTCTGGGATTCCTCCCATAGCTGTCATCCATTAAGATGAATTGATCCGCAGCATTTCTAATAATGTTTCACCACAAGTGAACTGCTCCAGTGTTTGTTTTTAATCGGGCTGAAACCACATCGTTGAGGGGGTCTTGGACCAATTCTTTTGACGTAATTTGTGTCCTTATGCCTGAACAAACCTAACTAATGGACAAAATGCACTAGGTTATGAAACAAATGCTCCAAACCAGCATTTTTTATTTTTTTTTTACTTTGTTTTTAGTATACCATGTCACACGTGAGATGCAGCAAAATGTGCAAGACTCAAGTGCAACTGTCAAACGTCCGTCTAATGCATGTTACTTAGAAAACACATTCTGAATGGCCCCTTACATGCGTCTAAATTGGTTCTCAAATTTTTCAGCGCCCCTTGTGGCCTCTAGAGAAAAATGCATTATGCAAAACATTATCTAGCTTGCATCATAATCACGGACACAATAAGGAGGTAGTTCGCCTAAAATAAAAATTCTGTAACTTTTATTCACCCTAATGTCAATTCAAGCCACCACCACCTCTGCAACACATTTGAGAACACTGAGGTCCAAACAATGTTAAAGCCCATTGACATACTTTGTATGGGGAAAAAAAAAAAAAAGTATCGTCTTTAGTGAGTGATCCACCGAAGAATGCAGGTGTGCAGAAACGTGAGGGTTAGTAAATGACACAATTTTCAATTTTGGGGAAACTGCCCTTTTAAAAAATGAAATAGTGCAGACACAATTTTCTCAACTACATCTACAAATGTACAGTTTGTCCTAGTGAGAAGCTATGATGGCGTTTTAGTGCCACATAAAAAAAAAACTAGGATTGCAAGATTATTCTCATTGACTTTCCTCGAAATATTACGACTTTAAAGTGATAGCAATACGAGAATAAAGTCAAAGTTACGAGAATAAAGTAAATATTTCCATAAGTCTAAATTACAAGAATCAAGTCGTAGCATTTACGAGATTAGTTGTTATATTTTGAAAGGTATAGCCTATATTGCGCATACAAATGTCCCGGATTGAGAGCACCGGGAGAAATTCCAAAGTCTCGGCTTTCAAATTCTGTCAGTTTTATAGGAAAATATAAAAAAACTATGTCTTACAATGTTTTTTTTTTTTACGCTCAATGTGGCGTGACGCATGAATCAGTCATCTTTGTTTACAATGAGACATTGGTTTCGTTTTAAATTAGGCTATACAGTTTTTATTGTTTTTCCCCATGCCTTCTGATGTTCCTTCACGTTTATATTATGCTATAACTTCAAATAAAGAGGAAAAACACACTTATAATTGTATTTCGTGATAAAACTGACAGATTTTGAAAGCGGAGACATTAAATATTAATAGTACCAAAAGCACTAAGCTTATTGCTATTATTGGGGGGCTGGTGCACTACAAATAACGAATGCAATCGAAGACATGAAATATTTCCAAGCATACTCTCCCTGTGAGTATGAAGGATGGTATGATTTTTGCTAATGATTCCACATACATTCAAAATTCCGATGGCCTGGCAACTTCTCCCGGTGCTCCCAATCCTGGCCATTTGCATGCGCAATATAGGCTATACTCACAACATATTATAAGTTTAATTGCTACGATTTAATTCTCGTAATTTCGACTTTATCAGAATATTACAACTTTAATCTCATAATCTAACATGGCACTAAAACACCGTTGTAAGAACTGAGAAGCAGACCCTTTTTCATCTAAACTTTTATTTGTATGCTTTGTATGAATTGATGTTGATCGAGTTTAAATGGTTTTAGCGCTTCTGGAAATAAAAAATCTCTGAAAAAAGGCTCTGACCACTATAAAATGAGACCAGAAAAGACAATCAAATCAAAAACATTTGAACTCTAAATGCAGATGACTGAAGAAGCCAATACTGCAAATATGGGGTATGAATTATTTACCATTGTGAATATGGTCCTCGTACTCATTTACATCTGGTTTAATAGCAGTCATGTTTATAATAGTTCTCATTTCCCCCTTCCAAAACTTTTATAACTTTTGGCTGTTATTAAAGACCAACTTCGTGTAGTATCCTAAAAATAACTGCGCAGAAAATACTAAAACACACGTTTAGTGTGGTGAATTGCAGTAAAATCTAACCTTTTGAGGACTAAATGCTTATACCAAGGGTGTCATTTGGCCCCAAATTTGGTAGATATTTTTGGTAATCTTTCATCACAATGTTTAGATCGATTCAGTATATCAACCTACACATGGCTTACTTGGTTTTATCTCTTAATGAAAAGACACACTTGACCTTTTATTGTCATTTCTTTTAAAGTGTTTTTTTTTTTTTTTTTTTTTTTCTGATTGCAGATCAGCTACAGGATATCTGGCTGTAGCATCATGAATGAGCACTGACCCTATGACCTCTCTACAATGACCTGAAACGTAGGACGACGCTAAGCCTAAATTGAACTGGATTTTGTGACCGACCGCATTCATCCAAAAAGTTATCTGTATTCTTTCTATAACCCTAAATTTCTTTTCTCCTAATTCTCTTAATCTTTAAGTCATTATCAAGGTCAGATTTGCATACTAATTGGCAATTAGCACTTTTTTTGACATGTGGCTGATATTCAGTCATTAATAATGACCATATAAAGCCATATATGAAGTGCGTCGCAGATAAAGTTGATCATGTTGGATTTGTGGTCTGCAGGTCTTCAGAGCGAGCTGTTGGGGTTGATGTAATTGTACAGTTGCACTAAAGGTGTTTGGTTTAATTTGTGTTTATAAAAACATCTTTTGTTAAGAATCCAATTATGTCTTTCAAAAAGTTTTTGGGTGTTAATTTGGATAACTGTTAATTTCGAAAGTATGTTTGTGTGAAAAATGTTTTTGCGGTATGGTTTCATTTTTATTTTTGTAATCGTTCGATCAGTGTCATATCTAATATGTACTTTTCACTGTTGCAGAGCACATGCAAATTAAAAAAAAACAATAAAAATAAAAATTTGTAAAAGGAACTGACTAAATCAGAGATGTGAAACCCAGTTTGTTTTTAGACCTTATCTTTTGATTTGTGCTATTCCTAATATAGCGTGGCCTTGAGTGCTATTTAAAGGCAAATGCCTTAGGTCACATTATCATTAAGCAAATTTGTGAATACCACAATGGTGTTATACACTGTACCGCTGTCTATCAACTTGCACTGATACTCGTGAGTTGTAGAGTGCTCTAAACAATTAGTTCTTTACTTGTCTAACAAAAAGAAACATGGTTATCGCTGGTGGTAAGGCTCAATAAAAAGTGTTCCATTTAATTCTCACTCTTCACATCCCTAAACAGCACTCTACATAAACCGTGTAGCTTATGTACAGAAAAAGGTTGTGTAGAGTGGGAGAGAGAGCGATAGTGCGCCTTGCCTCACTTTGTATTAATGTGGACATTAATATGAATTTATTTGTCATATCGGCTGTAACGTAAAGCTTTTGTAATGCCTGATAAACTTTTACTATCCGTTTGCTTGCTTTTAATAAACGAAGACATGAAGTGATCATCCTATGGTTTCCGATCAGTCACATTCTAACTAACAGAAGTCTTTTGTGTGTTTTTGTTTGTTTTGGGGTGGGTCAGGGTGATGTAATTTGACATATCAGTGTGTGTATTGGAAAAGAGTAGGCTCTGGGGTTAAAGGTCAAGCTTTCAACTCTCCTTCACCTCTTGATATGAGGATTTTGGTCCTGTGTGTGGAATGTCAGCCTGAAGTGAGACACAGGATTTTTTTTCTTTTGCTGCACCCACATTGTTTTACTTTCTCATGAGCTGTCTTTGCATATTGAAAGGAAGGAAAGAAGCTATCCAGTGTGTACGCTTATTGGCAATTAAACTTCATTTGGGTAATCTCAGTCTCTCCAATATAGCCTACCTTTAAAAGTTTGATTCAGTGTAGTAAATAATTTTGTCCTAAATTTCTCTACTTATATGTAGTGTTGGAAAATCTGATTCATTCTGGTGAATCGGTTCATCCTAAACACCTCTCTTTCATATGTAGCCTTGGAAATTTTAAATTGTTCTTGTGAATTGATTCATCTTAAAACAGACCCTGGAATCTGTTCAAGTCCCTATGTTGAATTAATTTTAATAATTGATTTGTTTGTATGTTTATTAGTGGGGTTTTTTTTGCCTCTGTTATATAGATTATATATTTATTTAACCCTCTGGTGCTCCTCATTTGGGAGTCACACGTGTGATCTTCACGGTCAAACGTGACCAGACACCTGAAATGTAACTTTTTTTCGCCCCAGTAAAATCAATGTAATATATATTTGTTCAATATTATTTTTTCTTTATTTTGTATTTTGAGAATTTCATGGCACTAAATATTTATGCAATTATGATGAATTTCTGCCCACTGAAAATAATAAAAAAAAAATTTAAATATATTTTTATATTACTTTTCAATAAATGCAGTATTTTGTTAAAATAGTCAATGCCTTTAAAATCCAATTTTTGAAGCCAGATTAGTGCCATCTGGTGGGAGTAAAATAAGAAAAACATCTGCAATTCCATGGTTTAGCCCATAGATTCCTATATAGCTCTATATAAAAGGCCTATAAATTCTCTATTTGCTTTTAGACATAAATACTTATTTTTATTAAGTTGTGGGTATGGATATATATATTTAGACATTCACAAAGACAACTTTTTGTAAAGGGATTTATGTGTGTGTGTGTGTGTGTGTGTGTGTGGATGACCCCTATGAGGAGGTGCCACTGCTCACAAAATGGTTTAAAAACCCAGTGGACAACTTGTGCGTCTTCTGTGTATGAGCTGTTTCCTGTGCACATTAGGTTGGGTTTTCTTTGTCTTTCTGTTTTCCCTTATTTTCCCCTCTAGGTATATCTACAATGTTTCGATGGATGCTTCTAAGGATGATGTTATTGCTCTGGATGACAAGCGTAACACTTCAGGGCGGCACAGGTAAGCATGCTGATAAGAAAACAATGCTCATAAATCTGTTTGGGGATTTGTATGTAGTACTTTTTAAGCGCATGCTATTGCTGAACCTTCCAAGAACAGAATTACTGGTAAGTTGTTGATGCACAAACTGGGTTTCCGGTCTTGTATGTTGTCCATGGTGTAGAGCTCTGATTTCTGAGATGTTAGCAGAGATTCAACACTGTCCAGAAATGACCAGAAAAAGTACTAATTGAATGTTGTAGCTTAATGCATGTGGATATAGTATGCATAGATGAGTTGTGATGGTATAGTAATATGTTCAAATGTAGTTTTTTAACCGGATTGCCATTTTGTAAATCTACTGGTAGCCAGCATCATAAACAGTTACAGTGATATAAGCGTTTCATTAAAAATTAAAAAACGGTAGTTTAGTAGCAGATTGATCTTAAATTGACAGTTAAAAAATTTCATTAGCTGAAATATTGTTGATATACCAAATTACTAAAGTCTGTTTTTCCTTTATAATATACTGATAACCACCTTAAAAACACAGGGAGTAAAGAGAAAGCTACATGATGAATCGGTTATAAATTGTAACATAAAACCCTAATGTACATAACTTACAAGGGGGAAAAAGAAGAAAAAGAAAATCTGGTAATGCCAGTTTACTTTTTTTAAGACTGTAAATCACTTCCAAGAACTGTAAAATTGTGTAAAATTTCCCGTTAGATCTATTGCAGTTACAGAGTAAGGGAACTCGGTATTAACAATTAATCAAGTTTTTACTGTAGTGATTTCTGTAAAAACACTGAATCATTCGGGATGACTGTTCATTTATTTATTTATTTATTCATTCAGTAATTCTTGGTGCATGAAAGTTGTTTAGCATTTAATTCAGTTTTCTCTCTCCTAAATCCTTGGTTCTTCATGGTGCAGTTAGATTATGATGAACTGATGTGTCCATCATGGCAGAATTTAATTGACTTCCGGCTCACAGGCTTGAAGACAACATGTAGGAAATGAGAAATGCCCCAGAGCTGTGTCTGGAATCACATACTGGTTTCTTCAGGACAGGTTCATGAAACACCAAATTAGAATTCAGACATCACCACAAAATGATAGACATCCGATATAGTGCAGTATAAAGAGGGATAGGGAATGACATCGAACACCACTACTGTCTTTATACATTTTTGTTCAAATCAAAAAGAAATGGTATAGATTGTAAATAAGCTGTTAAATAGGAAAATATTGGTCAAACTTTTGAATCAGACTAGTTTCTTATTAAGATTCAGAAGTCCCTGCATATGCACATAGGTGTGTAATCTGTATGTTTATGACAACAGGTAAAATAGTGTGCTCATTGAAGCATTGTCTGTTTCTGAATGTGGCAACTTTTTAGTTTTTTTTAAATAATATGATAAATTATATTTTAAAAGTACAGTAGTGTAATATGCAGTATATATTATGCAGCAGTTTTATTTGTTCGTTACCTGCTGTGAAAATCATTCATGGAAATTGTCATAATAGATCCACAATGAACTTTGCATGATAAAAGTAGCTACAGGTATAAAGCGTTTTATAGTTATTGTATATAGCAATGCTGTATTGAACATGTGACAGATATGTGTCTGTATATACATTCTTAATCAACAAGGGAGCATCCATAAGCCTCAGCTATTTATATATTTTTTCTTTGATTTTTGTGATTCTGTAAGTTTGTCATGTACACTAGGTTATCCACTGACAGGATTTATTTTTTTTCATTATTTTTTAAGGGTACAAACCTCAAAATCCAAATGGTGGTGCAGCACAAATGTCACCAAGAGGTATTGTGAATCTTTCTATGTTGATGTATAGCAGTTATTTGGAATTTTTTTTTTACATAATTATGAAATTTGTAACTTGATTTTCTGGTATTGCGAATGTTCATCTTGGAGAAATACATAGCTCAATACATCTGTTATTTTCAGATTATGGTTTGGGTCAAAATAGCAACTCAGCAAATATGAAAGGAAACGGTGAGCAAGAACAGAGTTTATACTAATATGCATGATTTTTGATCTTTTGGACTGATTTTATTTCTTCTTTTACCTTAAAAATAAATTTTAAGTATTCAGTTCTTCTCAAAAACAACATGTTAATACATATACCTCTATTTTTCCCTAGTGCTCTGCTTAAAACTCATCTTACTTCACTCATTAACCTCTTAAGACCCGAGAAAAGATTTTTAGGAAAAAAATGTCTTTACATTGTTTAGAGCATTAAAAAAAATGTTAAAAAAAAAAAAAAATTTTAAATGATATTTCGTTCATAAGTTATGCTATGTCCTCGGTAGAGGACATCGGGACTCAATTTTTAAAAAAAATAAAAAGACATGAATGAACCATGCATAGGCAAAAACAATAAAAAAAATTAAATCACCAATACATTTTTAGTTTTCAGGATTTTTTTTTTACCGAACTTTGTATAAAGATGATTCTCAATTATGTTATAACAGAATGATTTGATATCATTTTTCTTTCTGCAAAATGTGTGTAAAATGGCCATAAGACTTCAAACTGTGGCATGTATAGTTTCAGAGAAATACACCAAAATATAATGTCCTCATATGAGGTCACAGGGTCTCAGGAGGTTAAATATTAACAATGAAATGTGATCAAATAAATCATTGTTTTTTATTCACAAGTTATTCTATTTTGCTTGGTTAAAGTATTTTTATATTTAGCATATTTCTGTGCATGTACAGCAGTTTTATTTGTTGTAAGTGTATTTATTTATTTTCGAAATTTCTTGTAGCAATGATTTTACTGGATGGATGGATAATGAAAGAGAATTCTTAACTTGAAAGCTTTTCTTTATTATCAGGTTATCCTGTAAACAAAGGTACAGGTAAGCCCCGCTTGAGAAAAGCAAGCACACCATGTAGTATGTAATATACAATATCATTTAGTGAATCGCATCTTAAAATTTGAATCATTATACACCTGTGTGCTGTATTTCAGGTGCATATGGGAGTGCACAAAATAAGCCTGGATACGGAGGTCGTCCCCCGTATGGTATGAGTTTGCTTTGCTTGTAGAATATGCACATAATCAAATAATCATAAGTTTTTCTATTTTAACATGTATTTGATTGTTATCAGGTGGAACAGGCATGGGAAAACAACACTGTATTACAGACTTAAAAGCCTGTTCTTTTTATACCGTGTGGCTATCACTTATTTAGACTTTTTTTGTGCAAAACTTTCTAATTGTACTAAATTCCTGTCATTTGTCTTTCAAGGTTATGGAAATGGTAATGGCTACAAAGCTCCATCTTATGGGGGTGAGTTTAAAGTCAAGAGTCAATGTGTTAAAGTTAGTACAGATTTGTACATAAAATGAGCTTGTTAAGAATGTGTACAAGTGCCATTTTGTATTTACTTTCATTAAAATTCTTTCACTGTCTGTTTAATGTTGTCCGAAGGCTACAGCAATTTAATGGGTGCTCATCCCCAAAAAGGAGTTGGTCTAGGTGAGTCTGTTAAATATTCTTTGTATTAGTTCACCTAAAAAAATGTGTGTCCATTTTTACTTTATTTCTTGCAATTTCTTTCAATGCAGAGATCCCAGTAATTCCAAAAAAACACTGACAGATATTTCTTGCAACTGTATTTTTATTGTCTAAAATTCACTGTAATCACATTACAAAGAGCAGTTTGTTGTTCAAAATTTCTCCTTTGTGTTCCACAATAGAAATAATGTCTGTTTGAAATGAAATGTAAAGATTTTGATGTTAGAGATACTGATAATTTACATATTTTAGTGGATAATCTAATACAAAATCTGGCAGTTAACTATCATTTGATATTGCTAAAGAGATGTAAACATGTATAACAACCCTTTAACCACATTGGTATTTGCACTATATTTGCATTAACAGTGTTTTGTTAACTATGTTCACTAGGTTATGGTGCTGGGCCTGCAGCTGCCAAGGGACAAGGCTCAAAATCTGGAGGTAAATTCTCTCTGTATATAGCCTTTGTTAATGAAATCTCATTTTAAATTATTTTTATGATACTATTGCCAGATTTGAAAGAAAATGTTATCACAGAAGTCAATACGGGGGGGGACATGAAATGTAATCCAGTGTTTCTTTCTACCCCCATGTTTTAGCGCCACTCAGTGGACATTTCTCTTTGAAACTGCGGCGAAACGTGCAGTAAGGTACGTAAAAACGGTGTTGCAGAAATGTACGCAGAAGTACGTATTTTTATGAGACTGGGTTGGTTTCTTTCATTGTCAGGAAATGGACTGGTACTCTTAATGGACCCAAAATTAATAGTAACATATAGCTTTACTAGGAAAGTTGTAATATAATCATGTGTTCTGTTCTTTGTACAAGATTTACTTGGTTATCTAGATTTAGTTGTTGTTGATTTCAGTCAATCCTGGAATGTTTTTTGAAACTCGTCTCAGAGTCATAGCAACAATTCAGTAGTCTAAGCACAATTTGTTCACATAAACAGGAATAGATTGCAGGTCATTAAGCAGAGTCGTAATGAAACTCTGTCTCAAAATTAATAATCAGTGTTGGGGAAAGTTACTTTTAAAAGTAATGCATTACAATATTGTGTTACTCCCTAAAAAAGTAACTCATTACGTTACTTAGTTACTTTTTTATGGAAAGTAATGTTATGTTACTTTTAAGTTACTTTTTAAATCTGGGCAGGGGTTGCTTGTTTGTTTTTAATAAAAAAAAAAAAAGAGGTTATTTTACACATGTAAAAGCCCTTTCACACCAAAAGTGAAATCAATACACCTCAGGCTGAAGGAAATGTAAATTCACATAGAGGGTGCAGCTCAAAACAAATTGCATGAAGAATATGACGCAGGAGAAGAAAGTTCAACACTATTCAGCAATAACGAAAATGAAACACAAATGTGTCATTTTTGCGTATTAGTATGGTTGAATTGGATCATCAAAGATCAGTAGCAAAGGCATTGGTAATAAAATGGGATTAAATACATAAATGATATTTATCTTATTTAACATATTTAATTATTGTTGTACACACAATGCCTCTGCACTTTTTTTCAACATGGCAACTTGAGAGCTGTCAAGTCAATACATGGGGGAAACAAAGTAACTGGGGTTTATTTATTTGAAAAAGTAACTCAGATATTTCCTTCTAAATTAAAAAGTAATGTGTTACATTACTAGTTACTTTAAAAAAGTAATCTGATTATGTTACTCACGTTAGAAGGTCTGACATATGTAATATAATGTATTAAGTGAGGTATGAAGAATAGGGCCCTGAATGAAAAATCATTTTTCATCTGACTTACAGGATATGGCATCTCTGCAGGATACACCAATGGTGGGGCAACCAAGGCACAACAAGGTACATAATAATTCTATTTAGTCAACTTCCTTCTGCTACATTGTCTGTATTGTAAACTGCACTTATAAACTGATTTGGGATTGGTTTTGGTTAGGATATGGAGGATATGCTAATGGAGCTAAGCAACCTAATACAGGTAATATGTTGGATGTTTAAATAAATGTGATTTCACAGTGTAATTATTACAGTGTGGATAATACTGAACTGAGGATATTACACAAATCTAAAGTATTTTTCCCTAATTAGGCTCTTCTCTTCCAAATATGGGGTATCCCAATGGTGGAACCAAGGGACCTAAACCAGGTAAACTTTTTCTGTGTGTAATGCATATTGTGTGTATTTAATTTCAGAATAATTTGAATCTTACATGTGTTTGGTCTGATTTAAAGGATATGGTGCTAAAGCTGGACCCTCAAATGGACAAGGAGCCAAGCCTAATGGTAAATAGCATGTGATTATTATGTGATTTAAAATATTTAAAAATCTAAACAAATTGTAATCTTTAAAATCTGCTTGGATATGCCACCTTCAAAGCCAATGTTATATATATATATACTTAATGCATCAACTGTATTTTTAGTTTAGTTTAATAATCTATATTATTAGTTTAAAAGAGTTCTTTAGTAAGGGTAAAGCACCAAACTTCTGTATTGTAAACTGGGGTAACTGGAGCATCTCTAAAGTGATTTGGGATTGGTTTTGTTCAGGATATGGAGGATATGCTAATGGAGGTGCAGCTACACTCTTAAAAATAAAGGTGCTTCAAAAGGTTCTTCAAGCGATGCCATAGAAGAACCAGGGCCCTAATCCAGGTAAAGTGTGTGTGTGTGTGTGTGTGTAATGCATGGTGTGTTTTCATTTGTCTTATTTGTCCATATCATTTAAATCTTATCTGTTTGGTCTGATTTAAAGGATATGGTGCTAAAGCTGGACCCTCAAATGGACAAGGAGCCAAGCCTAATGGTAAATAGCATGTGATTATTATGTGATTTAAAATATTTAAAAATCTAAACAAATTGTAATCTTTAAAATCTGCTTGGATATGCCACCTTCAAAGCCAATGTAATACATACTTATACATTATATATATATATATATATATATATAAAATTTGTAAGTCGCTTTGGATAACAGCGTCTGCTAAATGACCTAAATAATAATAATATATGCATGCATGTATATGTGTGTGTGTA